TGAAGGGTACCATTACTAGGTAATGAGTTGTGTCAGAATTCTAGCAGTATGACTGTTCGACACCCAACGTTGTCATTTTAAATCCTTTGGGTTCTAATAAAGTCTGAACAAACCAAGACACTTTTGTGTGTCAGGATTTTTTATGTACTTTGGCAAGTGTAATTCTGGGGTTCATGCCAACTTACAGGTCGGGAACACCTACTTGGATCACCTTGGTATAGTGGGAGAACAGGAGTGCTGTCCCTCTTTGTTAAATTAAGTTCTTGTAGTAGACAATATAATGGTTACTCTGTGTTATAATTATTTTCTAAAATTCCAAGTGACATCAAAGTGTTTCCAAGGATAAATCTATAAACAAGTTCTGTGTATTTTCTGAGGACATTTTGCGTTGTTCCTTGGTTTTCAGCAGTTTGTCCTTCATATTATAAAAATGGATTAACAGAAAAAAAATAACACAAAGTAGTTGTGTATTTATGTCATTATAGTCTGTGCAATAGATTAATAAGTAAAACTACAATAAAATGTATCAGATACACTCTGACGCATCAGAAAAAGGTTAACAGTGTATGTATAAAAATTGCTGATAAATACACTCATTAAGCAGAATACTGTCATTGAAAACATAGAAAAGACACTGATATAGTGTAGTTCTAGATCACAATAAATGAACTATAGCCATAGACCTTTGGTTTACAAACTGTTGAATTGTCATATTTTTACCAGGTAATTAAAGGATCACTATAGGGTCAGGAACACAAACATGTATTCCTGACCCTATAGTAATAAAACTGCCATTTAGGTGGCTTGCTCCCTCCCCCTAAACCCCCTATAAATGTTTTAACTTACCTTATTTCCAGCACTGCGTGGTCCGCTGGCGCTGGTTCTGCCCTCTTTGTGACATCATCAAAATGGCCGATTTGTTTTTGCCAATTGGCTAAAATCGCCACGGGTGGGCCAAATGCCATATTGGCCAATCAGGACCTCCATGCAGAGCGGCGGACGTTGAATGGCAGGGCTGCTTACTGTGCAGCCCTGAGCCAGGAAGCCCCTCCAGTGGCTATTTAAGGGCAATTTAGACATTACCTTTTCTCTGAAAAGGCAGTGTTTACATGAAAATGCCTGAAGGGAGCTAATATATTCAGCAGAACAACTACATTAAGCTGTAGTTGTTCTGGTGACTATAGTGTCCATTTAAGTATGATGGCAATCTGCCCAGGATAAATAAAGTAAAAGATATAGATGCACAAAAAAAGCCAGAAGTAAGTGTTTTGCTGAGTACCGTCTACCCATTTGGTATGAATAAACAGCTTCCCATAAGACGTATGAATGCAGTGCTGCTTTTTTTCACTTTTCTTTTTTGTACTTTTATGAGGATAGTTTGGAAGATAAAATGTTGGTCTGGGGATGTACAAAGAGGCTTGAGACCCGTTAACAGTGAAGCATTTATCCAGTACAAAAAGAATGTAAGCAATACATTTTATTTAATGTTACAACGTTTCTGACTATGTAAAATATTGTTAAAAAAAACTGGGCAGTGAACTCCAATTATACTTTGACTGATTGTTTATACTATATAAAGGAAAGGGGACTTTGGAGAGCAACTGTGACTTTCAATTCATGAAGTTTATTGACCATTTAAAGGAGAATCATCACGATTTATTAAACTTTATATTAATATCGTATATTGCTGGATTGCAACAAATATCTATTTGTTTCATCTTCAAATTCCTTTGTTTCAGAATTCATTGATCTTGAGACGCGAGATGCACACAGAGCGAAGCACATCAAGACACTGGGTTTACATTTCTCAAGTGGTCCATCAGTTCTCACAACTAGGGTAATACATGTTGTCACAGTTTTATAAATCTTTACATGTCTGGCAATGCATACATCAAAAGAGTATTTCAGCTATTATACTGAGCTATATATATCCGAATACACAAGATGTATAGTTTTTTTCCAAGAGTCTAGCAGCAAAATTCATAAATGCAACCGATACTGTATGCGGCAATACCATTATTTAATATTTTAGGATGTGTTAAAGACAATTATTACCAGCAAAGTCAGAGTAGACATAGAAAAACCCATCCATTCTATATATTGCACTCACATTCAGAGTCTCACGCCTGAGCAGGGCTATTCACTAAGTTGAAAATTGTCAGCAATTCCAATTGGATTCAAAGTAAATTTTAGATTTAAGGCCAAATTAGCTGAGCTGAAAGCATAGCTGACTTGAAAATATGGATGTGCATGGGAAAAATATTCAGTTTGGCATTCCGAAATTCGGGACTTCGGGACTTTGAGAAAGTGTAGGGGTAGGGTTAGGGTTGGTATAGAGTTAGGGGTAGGGTTAGAGGTAGGGTTAGGGATAGGGTTAAGGGTAGGGGTAGGGGAGATTTAGGTTAAGGGGTAGGGTTAGGGTTTGGGTTAGAGGTAGGGTTAGGGTAGGGTTAGGGTAGAGGTAGGGGTAGGTGTAGGGTTACGAATAGAGTTAGGGTTACCCTACCCCTAACCTGACCCCTACCTCAACCCTTAACCCTACCCCAACCCCTAACCCTACCCTCACCTGTTTTGCCCCTTTTCAGAAATCCAAAGCACTTCGGCACTTCTGAAATTCGGCAATTCGGAAGCATCCAAATGTCCGAATTTCCAAAATTCATCAGAATTTGCATTCAGAACGAAACGCACATGTCTACTTGGAAAATCTTTACAGTTTGCCTATTTTATCCTTAAAGGAACTGTATTGGCGCCTAAACCACTTCACCTTAATTTAGTGGTCTTGGTGCCATGTCCCTATAGTTTTAATCATGCAAGTGCAAAGGCAGTATTTATATTAAAGACTAGGGATACCTCCAATAACAGTCACTCAGATGGCCACTAGATGTGCTTCCTTGGTTTGCAGGACTGCTGTTCAGCTTCTTTACTCTCTGATTTATTGCATCCCTATGAGGAGATGATGATTGGCCAGGGTGGTGTTTGGCACCTGCCCCTGTCCTACCTCCTTGGCGATCTCAGCCAATCCAATGCTTTCCCTATTCAATTCTGATGATGTCACCCAAAATGGCGGATCTTGGGAGTGGTCAGCAACTGCAGACCCATGGAGAGCTGGATTTAAAGTAAGTGTAACCCTTTCTAAGGGGGTAAGGGGGTGCAAATCACCTAAATGCTATTTTTAACACTATTGGGTAAGGAATACATGTTTGCGTTCCTTTAAAGTTTAAGGCTTCCTTTTTCTAAATATCTTAAAAGCATTAATCTTTGAGGTTGTATATAAATGTATTTTATTTATCCTATATACATTTTGACCTCCATGGAGACAAATGGCCCTTTCCTGCTCCATACTATTATCAAGACATGATGGCTTTCTCAAATGCCATCATGTATTATTTTGTTTATTAAAAGTCAACAACAAGCAAATATAATATCTGATTTCCTTGAATAATATCTGGGTGTTACTATTAAGGGGTGTAAAACGATGCTGCCAAAGTAGAGAATAGTAGTGTGAATATCTACAGATTTAACTGGCAAAGAATTAGTAACAATTAAAAAAAAAACATTACAGGTATATTATGATACAGTCAGCGAAAGTGGGTAAAAGCTTCCAAATTGGGACTAAAATATGCATATGTTATGAAAGCACTTTGGAAAATTAACAGCAGGATTGTACTGCCACCTAGTGTGTATAAACAAAATGTATCATTATACACCTGCTATTCACATAAGAGGAACACGTAGAGAAGAGTAAACATGAAAAAGAAACGTAAATTGGAAATATAGATGGTGTATTCACATGTTAGTATAGTATTAAACATGTTTAAATTGAAGTTGAGATTCATAATGTGTCAAAGTCATCAAGTGGTTGTAAATAAATATAATATATAATCTATAGGGCTTGTGCTATAATCAGTTTAAACATATTTTAAAGGGGTACTATTACACCATTTAATAAACTAATGAAAGACGGCTAATAGTTGCAATAACCTTTTTGCATGTGTTGCTAAGTCTACTTTTAAATGCATGTTAAATGTTTGTTAATTATGCATCTTAATGAATTAATTTTGTGGTATAGATGTTGTCCCTGCAGTCTTGCATATTTTGTGAAACTGCAAGGTTCACATTTTGCAATTTCCATCCACACCTACCAGTGGTTGACAGCAGGGCTGGACTGGGAGAAAAATTCGGCCCGGGCATTTTTTTAACACAGCGGCCCACTAAGAAGGGGGCGGGGCAGAGGAGGTGTGTTTTGTCATCACCAATGACAAACACGCCTCCTCTCAAAGTGAGCATGTTGGTTCAATGCTCTTCCAGGGCAGACCATGCGCACAGCTCTGCTGAAGAGCTCTAGCATGAGAAAAAAGCTCTGTATTTGTTCTTCACAGTGCAAGCAAATTTAATAACATGCTTGCACTGTGTTTCCTTGCAACTTGTCTCTGGTGTCTCTATAAATGGATACCAGGAGACAAAAATGCCAGGAAAGAGTATTGTGCATGTGTTTGGAGCCTGCTTGTGGGATTGCATGTGTGTAGAGTGAGCTGATTGTGGTGTGGTATTGTGTAATAAGGTTGGTTTTAGTCATGTTGTGTTTGTGGTGTAAAGTGGTGTAATGTGATGCATATGTGGCTATGGGCTGTAGAGAATGTGTGTATTGGGGATATAGCAAGTGTGTGCATACAGGCTATAGTGTGTGTGTATAGGTGTGTAGTGTGTGTTTAGGGGTGTAGTATGTGTTTGCTTACAAGGAATCTAGTGTGTGTATAGGGGATCCAGAGTGTGTATGTTAAGAGTGTAGTGTGTGTGTGTGTGTGTGTGTGTGTGTATATATATATATATATATATATATATATATATATATATATTTGGAAGTATTGTGTATGTGTGTGGTGCAGTGTGTTGGGGGGGTTCTGTGTGTGTGTGAGGGGTGCAGTATGTGTGTGTGTGAGAGTGCCGTGTGTGTGAGTTGTGAGAGTGCTGTGTGTGATGTGTGTGAGTGCTGTGTGTGAGAGAGTGCTGTGTGTGATGGGTGTGAGAGAGTGCTGTGTGTGAGAGTGCTGTGTGAGTGCTGTGTGGGATGGGTGTGAGAGTGCTGTGTGTGATGGGTGTGAGAGTGCTGTGAGAGAGTGCTGTGTGTGTGAAAGTGCTGTGTGTGATGGTGTGAGAGTGCTGTATGGGTGTGAGAGTGCTGTGTGTGTGTGAGAGTGCTGTGAGTGTGATGGGTGTGAGAGTGCTGTG